TAATGAAACATTATATATATATATATATAGAGAGAGAGAGAGAGACAGAGAGAGAGAGACAGAGAGAGACAGACAGACAGACAGACAGACAGAGACAAATATACACAAATGCATTCTTTAAAGCATCCTTTTTCGACCAACATCTTGAAATCTTCTTAAATGAACAAAATGAAACAAATTCGTACAGCAAAACCCAAGTATATAGAGGTGGGTTAAATGGGTATTTAACTCACCGTGATTTACATAAAATGGTAAATGCTGTAGCCGTGTACTTGACAGCACATCCTTGACATATGAGCTGCTGTTTGCAACACCTCATATAATATTGGCAGGCACGTGTTGTCCAATAAAGGCGGTGATTGGTTCGCTCTACATAGTCTGCCTCACGCTGATATTTAAATTTATAAGCAATAAAACTACTTTGAAGGTAGGGAAACATGATACACATGTCAACATCCTATTAGCAAGTATCTGGCCACCTCTGCCTAACCACAGTAGTTTCAAATACACCGGACACAAACAAGGACCTAAAACTACCGGAGTCCTAAAACTTCTAGCCTTATGTTCGATTGTGCGTTTAACATTCTCCAGGTAACGACTTTCTTCGTTTCCCTGTTCAAGCTGCAAGGAGACCATGTCATTAACGCGTGATGGGCCAAAGTGGAAATCAGATTTAACTTTTGGGACTTAGAGACGAAAGAATTCCAACTTGTGTACAGATAAATTTAAGCTTGCGATAAACACTGAAAATGAACGACCCCTGCATTCCGTTTAGCCAACGCGTTCAAACGGTGAATCAGTCTCCACCTCCATAGTAAAATGAAGGGACGAACTGGAAGGGGAAAGCCCCAGCCTTCTCCATAGAATCAGATGCAAAAAAAAAGTATCGTTCTCATGAGGCAAATATACATAGGACTTAGAGTATCTTTCAAATGGAAGATTTTCATAGAAACCAACAAAAATATTACCTAAAACAAGGAGCTGAAGGACTGACCATCGAAAGCCAATCGATCAAGGCCCTACATAATATCATTAAAACTAAATTGAGAAACAGGTTTTCAAAAATGCTAGGGAGACCCACGCGATCCCCTCTAAAGAGTGTCAGTGCAGATCTGTAAAGTGTCCTGAAAGGGGACATTGGTAAATAAACTGTCGAAATACACCATAAGCTTATTCACAGGACGTACACAGAGAGAGAAACACACACACACACACACACACACACACACACACACATATATATATATATATATATATATATATATATATATATATATATATATATATATATATATTATACTTAGTTTTAAAACTAAGTATGTTACCTCTATCCCAGATATTGAGTAGTTACCAATAAGTACCGCGCATATATAATAAATAAATAATATATATACAAAATCACACACACGCACATATATAGATAAATTACACACACACACACACACACACACATATATATAAATATATATATATATATATATATATATATATATATATATATAAACAGATTTCTAGTACTGCCAAATCTAATCAGACATTTGAGGAATAAAAAATATGGGATCATATTAAACATAAGATACAACAGTATCCGCGTTTAAAACATAAAATGTAAGGTACCTTTCGACCGACACATTTTCAAACACAATCGTCGGTAATCTAAAACGGAGTACTAACAAGAGAAATTTTTTTTTATTAATACCGTAATAAAACAAGATGGTAAGAGGAAAAAAAAATTATTTTACCTCAAATCATGTAACCGTTCCCCAAATAAGGCCAACTTAAACTTCATCTCCTGTGTGTGTGTGTGTATATATATATATATATATATATATATATATATATATATATATATATATATATATATATATATAGGGTAAATTGTCGCCATTTTATATTTTTAATTTCGCTCATGCCCGTTGTTTGTTTTTGATCTTGTCGACTGCACAATATATTAGGGTCATATGGTCACCGTCTGTAAGAAAAAACACTATGACGCAATTCACTCTGTCAGAAAATTTGAAACGGAATGCTGTACTGCTACGAACATTACAGAGTGTTTGGGTGTAAATCTGAGAAAGGTACAGGGGAATCATAAAGAGTTGGATGAGTCTAATGGTGATTACGAAGATACAGTAGCTCGGAAAACTCCCTCTGGTCATTCTGATTAGAAAAGGAACTTCCGAATTTCTTAGTGAGGGCCTCAGACTCAACACAGAGGCCTATATCAAGTACCTTGAGGAGAACACAGTCATGGCTGTCAAACAATTTCTGCGACCACATTATCCCTTAGATCTGACTACATAACTACTCAGACTGCAATACATGTGTGGGGCGCAGTTGAGCGAGAGACCAACAAAATTCTTTGTAACACCAAAGATGAATTGAAGGCAAGGATTATGGAAGCATTCACCAAGGAGACCACCCAGAAGAGTTGTAGGAGATTTCGAAGTCATCTGAAGTCCGTGGTTGAAGCCAATGACGATTTTATTCAATAAATATA